TATGAATGTATGTATACATACATATAAATATATATATGTATATATATATATATATATATACGTGTGTGTGTGTCTAACACTCCTACACTGCCACCACAACCTGTCCTGTGCATAGCTGAGGGAGTCGTGCACTACAGACAGACCAAATTTTTGACCAGCGGCACAGACTACTGTCAATACCACCATAACTATAACCCACCTGGGGCACAGCTGACTGTGGTGCTCGCTTTTGTTGACTGTGGTGAGTTTGGTCTGCGCATTCGCTTCGTCCAAGCTGACGAACTTGTTGGCGCAGATGCCAATGTTAGTGATACCCCTAATAGCAGGCGCAAACTTCCCTTCGCACACAGTCTGTGGTGGCCATGGGACGGGCAGATAGAGATCGTTTGTGAATAGGCCATACGGATGTGAAAGTGCTGCACAGGTCATTTGAATCACGGACAAATGACAAGTGGTCAAGTATGGACTCGTGCAAAGTCGTCAAGTAGGGACTAGTGAAAAGTAGATGAATATGGACTAGTAAAAAATAGATAAATAGGGACTCGTGAAAAGAAGTCGAATGTAAACTAATTATATATATATATATATATAAAAGTAGCCAAATGTGGACTAGTGAAAAGGTAGATAAATATGGACAAGTGCAATGTAGTCAAAAGTAGTCAAATATATACTCTAGTGAAAAATAAATAAATAGACTAGTAAAAAGTGGACAACTATTCTACGCACAGCCAATGGGCTGCTGCCGGACCATGTGCTCAACCTCCTCCCCACACACACCGTTGGGAATCTCCTGAGGAACAGGCTCTCGCACTCGTTGGTCAAGTCTTGCACCGTGGTCTTTCGTGAGATGGCCATTGGGGTTGTGCGGCTAAACGGCGTTGCGTCGTACTTGTTCTCTGATGTCATAGCTGTGTGTGTGGTGACCAGGTGAAGGGGCTGGTCTTAATATGGAAATACACAACTGCAGAGCGCACAAGTACAGACAGGAGAGCAATACACTGACGTCTGGTAAGGGTTGTACGGGCAAACAGCCGAAGAGGTTATAAGCAAACGCATATCCAAATGTGTGCATGTGCACACACCCCGAGTACACTTGGAAACCTTGGACGGGTACAACATGGCCCATATGCCCCTGTGCGAAGAAAGAGCGCACGTGTGTAGCATCAGGTCATGTGCACATACTTGAACAGCTCAGCGTGAGTTGGGTGGGCACGCGGCCATTCATCTCCATGTCCGAATTGATTCGCTGTCGACGGAAAGGGCCGAGAATGAGTCACATGCTAATCAACACCCTAAAAAAGGCCACCGAAGAAAATAATAAAGGCACGGGGTTCAATACAATCCAGTACACGAAAACCCTATAAACGGCACAAGACAATACGGGACCCCTGAGCAGGTCACCAGACAGGGGGTGCAGTACAATCCAACATACACTGGAGACATGAGCTGCACGTACACCTACACAGTACATACACCTATACACCAACGCATTATATGCAATGCCATACCATACCGTGTATATCTCCGCATTCATTTCCAACAGCCAATGACGGAACAGCTCCCATGTGGTCAACGTTGTGGGCCCACGAAAGTTCTTGCTACACCTGTACACGATAGGGTTTTTAAGGTTTTACGGTTTTAGGGTTTTAGGGGTTTGGGGTATGGGGGGTTTAGGATTTTTAAGGATATGGTCAAAAAGAACCAAAAAGGTTCAGGATAAGGACGCAATGCGCACGAGAACGAATATGTTTCACCCGCCTATAACTCTAAAACACCGAATTTAACCCAAAGACAAATGAGTATGAACCACCGCAGAGCCCAGCAAGAGACCAACAGAACACGCGCTTTTGCCAGCCCCATGCAGATGCCCAGCAGAGTCACATCTATGGACACATGCACACGGGACAAGCGAAGCGCATGGTTGCCATGACAACAGCACAGATGACAGACACCAACCACAGGCATACCCTATGGAGTCCACGATCGTGCGCTCCTTGACCTCTTCGAAGCACAGGCCTTGGCACATGTTGAAGAACCACGCCCCTGAAATGTAGGAAATAAAGGGCACCACAGCGCACAGGCTAAGCGAAGGGACAACGGCAAGGGATCAACGCGACATCAGTGAACAACTAGTAATCACCATGGCAGCGGCATAGTACCATAGCAACGATGAAGTACTTTAGCGACACTGAAAGTAGTTGAAGTATCCATGGCCACAGAGTTATACAGGTGACTCTAGCGTAATGGAACCCTGTAGAAGGAAAACATGAA